CTAACGGAGACTTGACATTTGCACTTATATATTGTTGCTCTTTTGTTAGTTTTGACTGCTTTTATTGTCCTCAGTTGTAAGTCGCTTTGGATAAAAGCGTCTGCTAAATGACAATGTAAATGTAAAATAATAGAATATTCTAATGATAACTGTATGCATACAGTTTATGATCACAACAACAACAACGTTTGTCGGGCATCTACATTGTCATTTGAGGAGATTACAAAGATTAAACGATTTTTTTAATCTCTAAAACATGAAATGTGGAGTTATCTGCTTTTGCTATGAAACACCCCAACAAACAGAACGTCGCCTCAACGTAGCCAACCTTTTAGCAACGTTGTAAGTTGTAACAACATGGCTAAAAGGTTGTTGGTTCTACGTTGTATCGTTAAGGTTGTACTGCGTTGTCACAATGTTGCCATTCAACACTGTTTGGACAACCACTGGACGACATGTACTCGTCACTGTTCCGAAGCGCATTTTACATTTTAACAGACAGTTGGGCCGTTATTCTTCTTCAAGCCAGGATACACGAGTATTGCTTATGATTTCTCTTTTAGATAAATAAGATATGTAAATATCCAAACAAAACCTACAATTTTTGTGTCCAATGTGAGATTTATTTGTTCTGTTAATAAACTGAATGGGCAGAATAGCTGATAACCCTGTTGAAAAAACCAGCATATGCTGGTTAGGTATGTTTTGACGCTGGGATGCTGACTTATGCTGGTCCTTTGCTGACTTATGCTGGTCCTTTGCTGGTTTAAGCTGGTCCTTTTGCTGGTTTATGTTGGTCCTTTTGCTGGTTTATGCTGGTCCTTTGCCAGCACATGACCAGCATAAACCAGCAAAGGACCCGCTTAAACCAGCATCCCAGCGTCAAAACATACCTAACCAGCATGCTGGTTTTTTCAACAGGGAATTCACATACCGAGTGTTAGTTTGCGATTGGGTTTGGTGTTACTGCTAACTATATTTCTTTCAGTATTCAGATATCGATACTGATATTTAGGAAAAAGCGTTAAACATATTCTGGTCATGTAAATGATAAAGTGTTTTAACATAACGCCAAAAGTTATAAGCCATAATGAAGCTATGAAAAGTGATTGACATTTCAGCACAACAGACAGCGACTGCGCGTACTTGCAAGTTAATGCTCAATCTAGACGACAAATAATATCTATATACTGGCTACCAGTAGCTGCTCGCATTAAATTCAAGGCATTAATGTTTGCCTACAAAACCACCACTGGCTCTGCACCCCTTTACCTAAATTCACTACAGCCGGCCTCCGCATACTCTAGACCGCGGCTCACTCTAGGCCTCCGGCTTCAGCTCACTCAAGGCCACGGTGTGTAATGCTTTTTCGTTGTGAAAGTGAAACTACTTTGTTTGGTCTTCCAAAAGAGGACACAACTACAAATCAGTGGTTAAGTTGTATTTGTTCCAGAACACTTCAACCCAAATATTCAGATGTGTGCTGCATATTTCATATGTTTCCTGATCCTGGGAGAGTAGACTACAATGCCGGCAGGCTAAAAAGACAGTATAAGTCATTATAATCCATAATTATGTCCCCACTTGATGCAACGAATGCCTCATTTTCATGTTTTTGAATCATGGTTTTATTCCGGCCAGACGGCATCACAATATGGTAAGGGGAGTAACAGTGCCGTCACACGCTTGAGGCTTGAGGTCAATCACAACGCACTGGAAAGCTGGCCAATCACAGCACACCTTGCTTTTCAAACCGATGAGCTTTGTAAAAATCGACGCGTTTCAGAAAGG